AAAAAAAAAAGCAGGCACAGTGCCTGGTCAGTCTTTAGGTGACTGTGGCGCCATGAAGTGATGCGATTTAACAGTCATAATGTAATCTCGCGGGAAGCTGGCTGTTAGCTGGCTCTATAAAAGAAAAGCAGGCACGGTGCCTGGTCAGTGCTTAGATGACTGTCGCTCCGTGAAGTGATGCGATTTAACAGTCATAATCTCATCTTGTGGGAAGCTAGCTGTTAGTTGGTTTTATAAAAGAAAAGCAGGCACGGTGCCTAGCCAGTGCTTAGATGACTGTCGCGCAGTGAGTGAAGTGATGCGATTTAACAGTCATAATCTCATCTTGCGGGAAGCTGTCTGTTAGTTGGCTCTATAAAAGAAAAGCAGACACGGTGAGTGGTCAGTGCTCAGGTAACTATCACGCCCAGTCATAAAATAATCTGAACGAAGCTGGCTGTTAGTTTCTATAAAAGAAAATCAGGCACAGTGCGGCTTMCAGTTCGCTTAAACGTTCTTTACAGTCCGATCATTCAGTTTGTATAGTAACTATGCGCTATAGGGATCTGATCAGAATGATTTCTTTGGAAATTATATTGTTGCCTTTAAGAAGAACCCACATCTAATTTAGTGAAGATATCTCACCAAAATCGAAAAATTCGTATTAAACTATTTGTAGTATAATAAGTTTTAAATGTCTCGCAAAAACTGTGTAAATAAGTTATTTGATAAAAAAAAAAATTGTATCCTTTCAGGCAATATAACCTATATAGACAATTTGAGTGGAGCAGGAGCAGCTATTGCCGATGGTAATTACATAGTGACTGCAACCAATGCTGGCACACTGGATGCTGAACTAAGCAAAGCCGTTGTTGTGGCCGCCGCAGCAGCTGGTAACGGTAGTGGTGGTGGTGCGGCAGGCGCTGGCAGCGGCGGCAGTGGGCATATCACACGTACTGAAGCGGATAATTGTGCCTGTTCTTTGAATGCAATGGTTATTTGTCAGCAATGTGGCGCATTCTGCCATGACGATTGTATGAGCGCGTCGAAGGTGTGCGTCTCCTGTGTGATCAGATGAGATAATGAAGTCTCTATAATAACCTTTTAGGCCTTGCGCACATGTAGTGGAAGTATTTGTGGTTCTGCACTAAATAAAATACAACAATAGTTATACATATATATAGACATATATATATATATATTAATACTTGATTAGATATACCTAATTACATATACATAGATATATTTACACCAATATATCAACTAAAACACGAATTCTGAATTCTGCAAAACAAAAACAAACCCAACCAAAATAATACAAAAACAAAAATTMACAGCTGGTAAATGCATAAATATCTAAATATACAAAAACAGAAATAAGTTCTGCTATAGAAAATGCTTTATGCAATTATACATACAAGCCGAACTATGAGAATCGCTGCCGTTCAGTTTGAACAAGCGTTGTGATTTTTTATATATTATAGCGCAAAGTAGTATGCGGAGAAGAAGATGTATGTTTTAGAAAGTTTTAATATTTCATTTTTTTTTTCTTTTTAATAAGACTTTTTGTCTTTATAAACACACCGTTTAAATTAACAAAAGCAATGTTTATTTCTGTCCCTACTTTCGCTATAATATGCAAGAAATTGTAACGAATTCAAGTTTTGCCTTTAATGCTGAGACGATAGTTACATCAATTTCACTATAATTATTATTTTTTGTTTGGTATATATGTATTTAAMACGCGTATTTCATAAAATCCACTTCCAAAGCGTTAAATATCTTAGTAAAAAGTTTTTCAAAGAAAATTAACTTAAAAATTTACTGTACAAACCACAAGATTCATTGTTGCAGTATCAAGTATCATGAAACGCTAATTTAACAATACATATTGGTATACAATTAGACGCAACACAATTTAAGATAATTAAGTGAACTTTTGTGAGAATTTTTGCATAATTTGATTGTGAGATCCTTGGAAAGACTTCAAAATATTATATATAAACATAAATATATATATATACCTATAAATACAATTAATATAGTACTACTATTTTTTTATTGCATACCATACAAGTTTTTAATGAGAAGCCCAGTTTCATTCACTACTTATTTTAGACATATTTTTAATATTTTTGTTATCATACACAATAATGAGGTTTAAGGTCGCTAAATATACATATGTACATAAAAACAGCGAGTGTATAATTAAAAGTAGAAATTTTTCACACATCCTACATACATACACACACTTGCCCAACGCGAAATTCTCACCATCAATATATTTATTCTCATTGAATACTTCTAAATATGCATAATATCGCGGGTGTGTTTTTTACAAAAATATTTATGTATGTATCTTGAAATTACAAAAATTTCGAAAATTGTTTTCATCTTTTCGTTATAGTTTGTATTACTTATTACTAATTAATTGCAGTAAGCGTTATGTATATGTAACCTGTAAGTAAATTATGTATGTATATTTTTCAATAAACATACATAAATAAATGAGGAATAATAATATATATACCTATGTAATAAATATTTTGTATATATTTATTAAAATTCGAATATTTTAGGTTCGTTGCTCTATTATAAGCTATTATATATAAATACATGCAACCACACAAGCATACATAACATATATAGTATATGTATGTAGAAGGWTAAAATTAAGTAACATGGTCACAATTGGTTCCAACTGTCCCCTGAGAGCATGCATACAAACCTTTAGATATTAACAAGAAACTTAATTACGTCTAAATACGGCTGAACGGTACATAATATTATGTATGTATATTTAAATGAGTGCCAGCCAACTTTATCGTATACACATAAGAAAATACACCAATTTAGTTTTTGTTAACACTGCTTGGTGATATGTTTGTTAGGCCGCAGGCAGATGCTGGAACCCCGTGTAAGCGCATATTCTGTAAATAATATTTTATAAGTCGCCCAAATACGGACAAATTACATAACAAATAAACAAATATAAATACATAGTACATATTATATATTAACATTAAWGCATACATACATAATTACACGCATACACTACTCGTACTGTATTTTAAACTAAAGTAAATTAATAAAGAGAGATCCGTTGATACAGAAAATAGAATTAAAAACTACATACAAGAATAAATACATAATTTTGCTCCTAGACGCACGTATCGCAAAATATCCAATAAATATTATAAAAAAAAAACAAATACAAGTTTAATTATAGTGTTTCTTTTCGTATAACTGTAATGGGAGATTATCGCATATAAACGTTCCTACGATGGTCTGGTTAATTTGAGCTGAGTCGATGTAAACTTGTGCGTCTATCTGTGTATATATGTATGTACATATACCCGAACTAGTAAGTTTTTAAGATAACGATCTGAAATTTTGCAACGTTCTTTTCCTCCCGATATTAGACCACAATATCATACAGCCACCATAATTAAGTTCTTGAATGAAAAAACTTTTTTTTTTGTAAAGATATCTTCACAAAATTTGGCAAAGATTTTTGTTCAAGAAAAAATATTAAAATATTTGAATATTTCTTTTTCGATGCAAAATATGAAAATTTTCACTTGAGAAGCTGTCTCTTATACACATCTAGATGTGTATAAGAGACAGCCTTATAGAGCATACATATGTATATGAAAATTTTATTAAGTTCAAATGCGAGTTAAATGCGATCAACATGTTTGTGAATGATTTAGAGTTCTTCATGGGTTCTTGCATGTTGGCGTTCTTTTTCTTTCGGATACGCCCAAAAATATGAAGGTAAACCTTTAACATCTCGTTCTCTTTTAACAAATGCACTAAATGACGAAACACAATTTCCGATGAAATGGTTTGCCATACCTAATATGGCTAGATCAAGGTGCGGATCATCATTATATAATTTATGGGCGGTAACATTCATACGCGACAATGCTGTGTTTAATTCTATTATCATATGATTAGCGTCTGCTGCCACAAATATTGAACGAATCTCATTGGTAGGATTACTTTGCTTAACGCTCTTAATCAAACGTTTGATTTGTCTAATAATAAGCTCTTTAGATGGCAAGCAAAGATCGAAATATAATGAACCACGCTCATTATTATATCCGAGGCATTGTGGTGAAGCGAATAACTGCTGACTATCTCTTACATGTTCACATGCTCGTACCCAGTCAATACCATTACGGAGGTGAATACCAATAAAAGCACCACGAGGTAAATTATTTTTAATAAAAGTACGCATCATATCTTCATAAATATTTGACCAACGTAAATAACGATGCAAATCCCTATTCTCGGCTTGTACGGGAAAGCTAGCTGGTGCACCAGTAAATGGTATAACAGGCCATTCTGTGGGCGGATACTTCTCTTGCCATTTTGTTGCCATTGCTCTGTGATGTATGTCGAAGTTAAGAGGACTGTAGAACACAGAATCCACGAAGGATATGTTGTACGTATCCCAAAATGGACCAAAAGGATTTCCATCTTTTGCATGACAGTCAGGTTTCGGAGCTTTATTGGGACTTAAAGTTTTCCTTTCCATGTAGCAAAATGAAATACGTTCATTTTCAGGCCAAACTTTTGGAGCCATATGCATCATAAAATCAGCCATTAGTATAACACGGTGAAATTCTTGTAAAGGCTTCACCTGAAAATACGTGTCGAAAGGAACTTGTGTAGAACGTATTTCACCTTTCCTATATTCAACCCATGGTGGTAAAATTAATGTACGATTAAGAGCTTTGGAGAAAGCTAATGCTCCTAAGAAATGATCGGCTTGATTACCAAATCGACCTAATGACAATAAACAAAATAAACATATTTACCAAAACATTGTGAAGTCAAACAAAAATATATACAAACCCATGCAAGGACAATATGCTAAATAGCCATTGACATCAATTTCGGAAGCATTGCTAGATAATAGCAATGTCCAAAATACAATTATCCTCAGTAACACTAGCATTTTACCGGCTTCTTTTTCAATCAATTGGAAAAATGTACAAACAAATTACTCAAAGCAATAAACAAAAACTAGGTTAGTGCTGGTAAGCGTATAATTTCAAAAGAAACTATGAAAACGACAGTGTTGTAAAGTTAAGAATAACTTTGTATAAGGCTGTAAGTTTATTCATACAATTAAAAATTTATTTGTAATAATTTTTATTCGCAATTAATTTTATTCATTTTTGAAAGCTAGAATTCAGAAATTTCTTTATTTCCCCTTTTTTTGATTTTTTTTTTTTTTKTTCATGTTTATGTTCCCAACAGATGTCTCTGAAGTTTATTTTGCTTCACGTGAAGTTTGTGTAATAGCGCATAGGTAACTTGTAAACCCGTTCCCAGGTAGCTATATTACCATCAATTTGTCAAATGAATTCGAATACGCTTAATCAGAAGTCATTCATACCAACACCACCGGAGAAGGGCAGTTTTCCACTTGATCACGACAGCATTTGTAAGAAATACTACCTCCTGTACATGAATTGTTTGCGCCGAAACAACGACAACAACTCGCAGTGTCGCCAAGAAGCTAAAGAATACCTTGGTTGTCGCATGCAAAACAATTTGATGGAGCAAACGCAGTGGTCCAAGCTGGGCTTTGAAGACGAGAATAAAACAAATACCAAGGACAATAACAAAGACAAATTGCAATAAATCAAATTAAATTCTTTAAATATCAAAATACGATTAAAAAACTTCAAAGCAACCAAATAGAAGCTATGATGAGACCTCAAAAGAACATACTAATCGGTGTCACGGGAAGTGTGGCGACTATCAAACTACCACTGCTAATTGAAAAAATACAAGAATACGAAAAAGACTACACCATAAATGTGAGTACATGCATAATTACCAATCAATTAAAATTTTATTGATCCCAATACATGCACAATTCGCAGATTAAAATAGTCCCCACAGAGCACGCTAGACATTTTTTCGAAAGTACGCTTTTGCCTGCAAAGGTAAAAATATTGATTGATGTCGCTGAGTGGTCAATGTGGCAAAGAAGAGGTGATCCTGTATTACATATAGATTTGGGCAAATGGGCAGACATCCTACTAATCGCACCACTCAGCGCAAACACACTGGCCAAAATAGCAACGGTATGATTGTTTATAACGCTCATTGTTTATAAACTTTAGTTTACATTCAATATTTTTTATTAGGGTATATGCGATAACCTACTTACTTGTGTGGTACGTGCCTGGGACCTACACAAGCCGTTACTCTTCTGTCCAGCAATGAATACTCGTATGTACGACCACCCTCTGACATATGAACAAATAAGCAAACTTAAGTCTTGGGGATATACCGAAATACCTTGTATATCAAAGATGTTGATGTGCGGAGATACGGGCAATGGGGCAATGGCCGAAGTGTCTACAATCGTTGAACGATTAAAACCCTTTTTAGAAAAATCATAGCTTCCAAGTTTTACACCTATGTGCATACACAATTAGATGTATTTAGATAAGAATTACAAATATTTGGGTACATGCGTACTGCGAAGTGACGTCATTCGTTATCGGTGAATAATTTCCTGCAAAGCAATACTTTCCAAAAGGAACACACATACATTTATTTAAGTAGTATACTAAATAAATATATAAATATATATATCTACATATAAATATATATATCTACATATAAATATATCAATTCAAAAAGGTTTATATAAATTTATAATGCAATTCAAGTGTTTGTAGTTTCAATGATTTTAAATATATGTGCCAGATACATTTTTTTATGTTACGGTTTACCTCGATCATGTTAAAGAAGAACCCTCCGATATAATTAACATTGATTGGTTTTCCTTACCTCGAATTAAATTTATTTAAATCATTTATAATTACAAAAGACCAAAATATTGTTGTCTGTGGCTGTTAGAAAATGTTGAATTCAGTTAGTGTATTAATTTTTGACTGCGCGCTAAATCGAGTTGTGCTGCTGAAACACTACCCAAACCTTCACGCACCGAATTCAAATTTTCTTTCCAGGCGTAGAGAAGGTCGCGTAATTGTTGCCACTGGGTTGCGCCAAATGTACGATGCATGGTTGATGAGATGTGCACTTTGCGATTGGCCTGGTCGAGACGTGCACGCACTAATTTTGTTTTCAGTACTTCAATAACGAATGGTTCAACTTCATCTTCGGTTATTTGTAATTCTTTTGTGAGTGTTTCAAATGACATTTCAGGATTGCTTTCTGCCAGCTGCATGAACGTCAATAAACGCATTTTTTTCATATTCTGCTCATGATTTAACCCTTGAGAAGTAACAAATTCCTTATGATCTTCATAGAATTGAATATACGATGGCAATTTGTCGGATACAAAAATTGACAACAAGTCATGTATTAAATCACCTTCCAAAAAGCGCACTGGTTTAAGGGCTAACAATGGATCCAACAAAAATGTGTTGGGATCAGCAAGTGCTGTCACGATGCATTTCATGGCATCTTCTCGAGCAACACAGGCATTATCAGCTGTGTAAGTGCCAAGCAATTCAATCATAACTTTAGCTGACAACTCCAAGTTAGTATCCTTGGTCACATCGTGTAACAAGCGGTATAGTTTCTGCATTTGCTCACTAGATGGTGGACAATTAGCAAATTGTGATTTCAGTTGATCAACACCTGTGAAAACTTCCAAAACTTGGTCACTTTGTTTCGCCACTTGAACAAGATGATAATAAACATGATAGCGCAAAGGTGATGCTGTATCCAAGTTGTTAAACAGACGCCACAAAGACTCTAAGCAAACCTTTGCCAATGGCACATTAGGAGCTTTCGTCATTTTTTCACAGTAAGCCAAAACAATATTTTCACCGCGGTCGAGTGGAATCTATTAAAAAGAAGAATATGATACTAATAAATTCCGATTGTAATTTTCTAAATAAAAACTTACCGTAATCATAATGGAAACAATACTGTTAAGGATGCCGTCAATTTGAGAGGGTTCGCCATCTTTGAAACAAACATCGCAAACTCCAATGATTTTATGTAAATCATCTTCAACACCTTTGTTAGACTTTTCGGATGAAATCTCGGCTCCCAACTTTTTAAAGAATTTTCTCAATTCTTGCACCTAAAAAGTCAATGCAAATGCTTAAAGCAGCATTATATACAGAAAACATAACCTCAAAGCCAGGATGTTTCACACCACAACCTCTTAATTATGATTTAAAAAGAAATTCTATTTACCTGCTCGTCCAAAGACAGGTCAATAAATACCGGAGGAGAATTCATGTTTATTAAAGTTTCAATATGTGTTCGCAACTGTTTTTCAAAGCCAAATAAATTTACACCCGCAACACCTATGCGCTACACGTAGCAAAAAGAAACAAGGGAAATGCTTCTTCTTGAGTTTTGCCATTTACGCAAATACTGAAAAAAATTCACAATAGTATATTCATTCTTGAAGTTGACGGCTGCAGATAATTATGAAACGAAACACAATTTCTTAAAAAACATACAAYAAAAAATAAATTGTCGCTTTCTTTTATTCAAATTCAAAAAATTAAATATAAATATTTGTGTATACATATTTTTTTTTTATTGATTTACTATGTATAATATAGTTGAATAACTAGCAATTTCATTTGGGACCTTTATGAGGTTTGTGTCTTTAATCTAAAATTTTAATTTGAACATTTCATTAAGTTCAACTTAATTATTGATATATATCCACAATTTTTAAATTAGACATTATTTATTCTGTGGGTCGACAGGCCAACATGTAAACCGGGTATAATCCTTTGGGAAAGCTCTGCTGTCGCCAAGTTTTTACAATTCGAAAACCAGCGCTTTTTATTGCAGTTTCGTATATTTTCAACGGACGTGTTACTGAAGAGTCTTGCTTATCCTCTTCAACTATGTTGGACGATGTAACATTCTCCTTAATTATTAAATAACCTTTGTTTGTTAGACCAACACGCATGCGACGGAAAAAGTTGAAAAGGTCACTTTCAGTAAGATGCCCCAGAACCCACTGACACCATATCACATCATATTTATTCGCAGCTGGTGTAAATTCTTGAAGACCCATATTGTATATTTCCCCTAAGCGACCGTTATGCTCATTACCCTCTGTACAATATTCGCGTGCTTTTTCTGTAAAACTAGCATCTTGCTCAACAATATCGGTTGTATTAAAACGGGACATTAGTAAATTTTTTGTTATACGCCCAATACCCGCACCACAATCGAGAGCGTTGTTTTTACCCACGTCTTTTAAGTCTCTTAAAAAACTACTGGAACCCTGGATATCAATTCTATTTAGATATCCTAAACCACCAAGCATGCCGTTCACCGTAGCAGGAACTTCGGACCAATACTTTTGCGCCCTACCGTAAAAATCATTTTCAGTTGAATTGTTTTGGTCAGCTTGTGAAGTTAGCAAAGGATCCTTGTTGAGCACAGACATTTGAGTTCCTTTATAAACTATGTTATATGAATATTTTTACAAGAATTTAYAATAAAGATATTAGCTCACTCCACAACACATTTTTTGGCAGAATCTACGCAGACGTCAAACTTGCTCACAAAATGCTTCTTCTTGGTGAAATGTCTAGTCAAAGTAATTTGTGTTTTTTGAGTTTAAAATTGTTGATGATTATGTTGGAAAAGCTATCCGAAACAAATAAAAGAAAACACAAACCGAAATTTATTTCCTRAAATATTAGTAAATTATGAGTAAAATCAAATTATTGCAGTTTTCGTGAACTTTAAAAGACTATAAAGGATGTGGCAACGTCATAATCAGCACTTTGTCAGCAATTTATATATTCAGCGACAATCGGTCGCCATATTGGCAAAGTAAATTTTCCTAAAAATCGGTGAAGTGAAGTAGACAACGTCGTAGTTGAGTGTTACGTGAAAATAAGTGATTTATAATACAATTGAAAGTAAATTTAAAGCAATAAAATAGTGCTGATTGTATAATTAAGTGACTTCAAGTAAAATTGAAGGTAAGTTTTGACGTATACTTCTTTCAAATAAGCTAAATGTTGACGAAAATATTCCTGTACACATTCACATACACATTTTTTTTTCTTAACATTTCTCTACAAAATATGGAGATTATGTTCGTTTCTGCTAAAAATTGATCGAAGAAAGTGCCATGCTTCATTTAAAAGTACAAAAGTAGATTTATATATGTGTAAATTGTTATATTAACGAAATTATATTCATATGTATGGACATATATATATGTATATTAAACATGCATTCACACATATGTGAATTTATATAATATATACATGGTTTAGCGAATATGCCTTCGAGTGATCACCATCATGGCGTAAATTTTGTAGCAAACGTTTGCGAATCGTATGTTTACGTGTATTAAACGAAACTGTTGTAACGACTGACATGGTTATTGACGTTACCGCAATTATAATAAGAAATGCCTACTTTTGTCATTAAAAAAWAAATATAAATGAAAAAATTGTTATTGCATTACTTTTAAACAAGTTTGCAAATACGAATAATTAAATACGTTGGCTTTAGTTCATGGTAATAGTGTTAATTTTTTAATTTTTTATATTTAAAAGTATATTACTATATATATTATTGTGTATATTATAGATGTACATTATTTTTAAATTACAATGAAATTGTGTGTATGTACTTGCGCTGAAAAAATCGATGTTAATGCTTGAAGAGTGTAAAACATGAAAAATAATTGATATCCTTAATTTTCAGGAATTCACTTAAAATGGAAATATCTGTGAAAACTAAAGACGAAAATGAAGCACGTGTGGCAGAAGAATATCTCTCCAGCTTGTCTGATCTTACTTGCAACAGTAAACCCTTAATAAATATGCTAACAATGTTAGCAGAGGAAAATATTGGATGCGCGTCAGTTATTGTTAAAGTGGTGGAGCAACACATCGCTAAGGTTAAACATTTTTTTAAAGAATTTGAAATAGGTTAAAAAAACTATAACATGGTATATCATGGATGTATCATTTTTCGCTTTAATAACAATTCAAAAAGCGTTAAAAGCTTATGAAATGTCGTTTAACAGGAAACTTTAGGTATTTTAGTCAGTGTGTCGATAAAATAATCAAACTGAAAAACCCACAAAACGCTAACTGCTTGGAAACTCCATTTTAGAATGATGTTTATCCAAAAACTTCAAAGTTTACTTACCCTTGAAATAATAAAAGTTGTGTTTAATAAATTTGCGTAATCTGTGTTTTCGATTTTACCATCGTGAGGCAAAATCTTGCTGTTAAAAATCAGTGTGGAAGAATTAATTTTTATTTGTAAAAAAACTTCAAATATTCTAAGTGCTGAAAGTTTATCAAACTGCATAAATTTGCGTATATGGTCTTTTAGTTTAAAATAATCTTCAGAGAATTACAACAAGCAAGTGTTCGTACAACTTCATTAACTGAAATTTTTGAATATTAKAACGTATAAAGTTTCAGTACGTAATATCCGTTTTGTGGTTTATTTACAAATGTCCATTATCACCAGATTTTATATTTTATCACATTAGAAAAGTTTTTAAAACGTTTTACAAATGTTAGATATTAATACAACATTTTTTCGATATACAATCTATTTGGTTATGGTTAATCACAATTTATACCAAGTTGAGCTCTAGTGTTCCAGGTCTAAAAGTGTATGGAAATTTACAATACTACAAAATGTGAACATCTATTTAAGCTAGTTTGTAAACAAAATAAGACTTTGCATGCGTATTTCTGGGAAATAATCCCGTGAAAGTTTTTAAATTAATTTACAGCTTCAGCGGTCCGTAAAATCCACCGGATGTGGCAAAAAAGATGATAATTTGCATATCAACATAAAAATATCATTTTAAACCACTAACATATAAACTAAATTTAATAAAACTTCTTTACAAAGATCAGTTATTTTTGAATGTCTTTTATTTCGTGATGCTGTTGTAGCTAAATATATTCATAAATTAATATATAAACTTATAAGATTTGATAAGACGCGCAATATGTCAGGAATTGTCGAATATGATATAAATGTGCTTTTGCCGATATGTTTTAGGTCAAAATTGTTTCGTTAGTTTTATCAAGGTATTTATTTTTTAAATAAAAAAAAACGTTTTTGTTTTTTACTWTTGGTTAACGTTCTTGTATCTAATGTTAGGTTTATGACAATAAATTAAATAATTAAAATCTGAGTTAATTATAGTGAGTTAAAGGAATTATGATTACAAGAGATTTTAGTCATATTGCCAAAAGAAATAGGCACACCTCAGCGCACTGCTGGTGCTGTTTGTCGGATGGATGCTTATCCCATAGGTGTCAATTAATTGCAGTTTTTTAAATGTATTTTTTCGTTTATTCCCACTGTTCCAATTCTACAGGTGCCGCCAGATATAAAGTTGCCTTTGCTATATTTAATAGATTCTATCGTGAAAAATGTGAAAAGCACTTATATTCATCTCTTCAGTCAATGTATTGTGAACATATTTTGCGATGTATTCGAAAAGGTAAGCATTTAATGCTGGAGAGCTTTACAGCTGTTGATAACTAATTTAATTTTACCCATTATAGCCAAATTTGAACAATTGAATATCGTAACAAATTTTAAATAAAAAAATTTTAGTACACTGTTATGGCTATTTTTTATTAAGCAATTTTTTAGTTGTCAACAGTACTTTAGTACTCGAAACTGTTTTGGGAGTTTTAAAGATTTTGTTTCATATTTGTATTACAAAGGTTAATGAAAAAATTCGTGAACGTATGTATGCACTACGGTTAACTTGGAATGAGGTTTTCCCATCACAAAAACTATACGCATTGGATGTAAAAGTGAAGMGGATTGACAATAATTGGCCAATCACAGCAAAGCAAGTACCACAGTCCATCCACGTAAATCCAAATTTTCTTAAACCCGTAAGTAATGGAAATATGTGGTATTGAATAATGTTGTTTAAATGCAAATTTCTAAATTTTCTACATGTTAAATTTTTAGAATTATGATCTCAAAGTACAACACGGAGATGTTGAGGAGATATTACAAGCCAAAACACGAGAACTGCTGGAATTAAAAAAGCGTAAACTCGAATTAGAGCTTGAAGCGACCAAAAAGAGCTTGGAAGAACAAGATAAACAGTTGTCGAAAGTAACAAACGGCCTCATGCCACCGGAAGCGGGCACTACAATGGGCGGTTCGCGCATGCCCGGCGTGCCTGCGCAAATAATGCCAACTGGCATTATGCCGCCTGGTTTAATGTCTCAACACCACATGCATCCACGGCCAACACATCCGGCAATTGTGGGTGGTGGAGCGGTGCCACCAGCAGCACTTTTCCATTCAAATTTCAACCAATCCAGACCACAGCATATACCAGTTGGTATGATGCCTATGCCGCCTCAGGTAAAAAAAAAACATACACATGTATATTGGTCTTATATCCAAATTCATATCCTAATAATCAATCCATTTTGTGTAGAATTTCCCGCCTACGAGCACTGGCAACAAACCGAAAGTGCATCCTGTAAATCCTGCATTATTAAACACCATAAGACACCGTGATCCACGTTTGGCACGTCAACAGCAAATGCAAGATGCAACGCCATCAATGCGTGGCTCATCAAAGTCAACCACTTCGTCATCATTTCGTGGCGCCGATGCGAATAAATCTGACAATAAGTCATCTTCAGCGTCGTCTTCGTATCGCAATGGTAGCAATAGCAACAAAAGCAGTCGCGGTGATTCGGGTAGTAATACGAGTACGGAAAGCCGACGAAAAGGCAGCTCATCACGTGATAAGGATAAGGATAAAGATCGTAAACGTAGCGAATCAAAGAGTTCCACATCATCCGGTAGTTCGTGTTCCTCGGAGCGACAGAGAGGTATCTCATCCAGTGCCGCAACTGGAACTACAAGTAGTCGCAGCAGTAAAAAATCAACTAGTAACAAATGTGATAAAGATGCTTTTGAAATTGCGCCACTCTCTACAACATTCAAGCGTAAATCCTCAACCACATCATTGTCCGGCAACGAGTTAACAACGTCAAAAAAGAAGGAACTAAAACGCAAAACACACAGTTCACATACTTCACCAACCAGTAAGAATCGTTCACGTAGTCGTTCGCCAATTGATAAAGCTACCGGTGTTGGCACAACAATTGGCGCCGGCGGAAGCAGCGCATTTTCGGATCGTGATGACAGACAAATATTTTCAACAAAGAAACTGTCGAAAGCGATCCATTCTGATGCCGAGCACGAGGAGGAAATGCAGAAAAATGCCGCCGCATTAAAAGTAGAAAACAAAAGTAAGAATCGTTTACACTTTCACATTATTTCACAGCTTTTACGAGAAACATGTATTATCAATGTCCGCAAAATAGAGAGACAGTTGGGCGCGTGTGGACTTTGGTTAGATTTGTAAAAATATTTGAAGTCTATTACATGAAGCAAAATACTATTGTTTTGAGACATTCCAGAAGCTATATTTGGCAATTACCCATTCGTATTTATTGAAATAAATACATGAAATACACTTTGCCCGAAAATTTGACTCATTGTTAGGCATGAAATGAGCTCTTCTTCGCTGTGTAAGCT